GGCAGAGCTGGAGGAGGGCGAGGGCGGTAGAGAGGGGACGGGGCAGCGCCAGGTTGGCGGGAGGGGCCAAGAAAAAAGCGTTGCTGTGAGAGATGGGACCGCTCAGACCTTGCTGGTAGGTGAGATGGGCAGATACTGGTGGCTGGCTGGAAGCCCGTCAGGAGTTATGCCTGGCAGGCTTTGCGGCGGGGGGGGGGGAGGGGGCGGGGGCGGGGGCACCGGTCCGTTGGGCTGGCAAAGCTCATTTCGGGCGAATGGAGCAGGATGCTGGGGCGAGGGGGCGGAGGGCCTTAAGGAGCTGAACCCGCAGAAGCACCTGGAGGGGTGAGGAGTGGAAGGCCCTCTCCTTCTGGCGTTTGAGAGCGTTCAGCAAGGACGTCACCTTTCCCTCTTTCAAAAACAGGCCCTCAAATGTCTGTTTATAGCGCGGCTGCGTCTGTTTCCCTGCCAATTCAGTGTTGTCCATACACGTAAACGCAGATATTCGCCAAGAGGAGACCATTGATTAGCAATCAAAATATAGTATGTAGGAATTGTGGGTAAGCCGCATATTGGTGTGGTTTCTGGAGAGAATAAAAATGAATAAAAATGAATTACTGCATTTCCTCCTGTTGACTTAACAAGCTGTATCTGTACTGCTGTGCCTCAGTGTTCTCCTTGAATTACAGGTGTTTTAGCTGTAGTTGTTTGTTCTCTTGGCAGCTTATAAATACACTGCCTGACTTTTCCTTTAGTGCAAAGTCTTTCCCTTGTTCATAGCACTTTGTTAGGTGCCACCAGCTCAGACAAACATATGCCATCTATCACCTCGTGTGCGAGTGAAATTATCTTTTGATCTTTCAGGTATGCTTTGTGCAAAGTTTTGTTCTTGTTTTTACATTGCCTCCCCTAGCGCTGGGTAGGTGTAAGTGAAGGCAAGACTGGCCTTTCTGTTGCCTTTCTGCTGGATGCAGCTCCACCTCGTTATTGCCTGGTGAGAGAGGGTGGTAGAAATCCTTTTCATAATTCCCATTCTCCCATTGCGCATTGACAATATAATGTTGCCATCCACTTCTCTGCACTTTTTTACTATATCAATTCTTAAAGATATTACCTTAAAAATGCTGAATTCAGATAAATTTCCAGCCTGTATATCCAGAAACTGTGATCCTTAATCAATTTAATCATTATTTGTCTGCTTGTATTTAATGCTTTGCCATCCTCTGCTGCAAAATGCCTGAGTTAGGCTGCACTCAGGACATAAAGACATGCCAGCAGATCCTTGCATTTGCGTGTGCTTGATGTTTCTGGGGCTACAGGGTGGGCAGAGGACTGTCCAGATGCATTTTTTTCCCCTCAGAATTAGAGCTTCTAGATGTTTTTGCACTTAAAATTGCAGTTTACATAAACATACCCAAACTAACTTCAAACTAGTTTGCTTAGGAACTGTTAATCGAGAAGTCCAGCAGCATGAAGTTCACATTGTCTGAATATTTGACCAGCTTTTCAGAGATATTTGCAGCTACCTTTGTATTCTGCTATACTGTGGCCATATGACCAAGAGTCTGCAAGCAACTTCAGTATTTCTGCAGTTACGGCTGTGCTGAAGTACTCTTGGACTTACTAACTCATGAAAACAACTTGATCCTTTATTTGCTATACAGAATACTAGAAAAGAGTATGATATTATATGAATACAAAATATTTGATATATTGCTGTAATGACATTTAATTTTCTTCCCCGCTCCCATCATTTTCAGCATCAGTCATCAGCCTGTTCTATGGATGTGTTCATGGTGGTGTAAGTCAGCCTGAAAAACAGCAACTCCTTATGAATGCTGTCATTTTCATTTGCAAAATCATGCGTTGATTTCATGAATGTCTGGTTTTTTTGGCCAGCCTTAGATACCTGTGGCCCTGCTCGGAGGGTCAACGTGGGTTACTGAACAGGTAGCTTTCTAGGGCCAGCCTATTAGATGCTCTGGGCATAGGAATGAAGTGAAATTTAGGCTGGCTGAATATTGTCCTGAACTGCCTTTTAGCTGGAGATGAGTGTTGTTGGCATCAGGGGAAGCTATGGGCTCAGCACCTCCTCAAAGTCCTGACTCTGCTCTTTGAAGAAACTAACTGCTG